ATGTTCGCAGTAATTATCCCATTCTCCGCTTTTCTCTTTTTTTCACTCTTTATTTGAGCCTCGCCCTTTCTCTGTAGTAAGCAGATGCGTTTATCCATCCTGCACCACCTCTTCTTTTCATGCCTGCTCTCGCCAACCTTCGCGCAAGAGTTCAGGAGACCTACCATTTGTACACGTGAATCGCTGCCATGTCACAGCCCTGCGCCTAACTCTTATCAGACCAGCCATACCTCACTCGGCCACCACAATTGCTATGGTCGTGTTTTGTTATGGGTAGGATACCTGGGATTGGGCTGGGGGCAGGCGTCCTGCTAGAAGGAATAGATGCAAAAGACGGAAAAAATGCGTCAACCGATTGGCCAGAAATGGGCTCAGAAACCACTGGTTCCCTTAGGAGTAGGCTGTGTCCCTTAAAAAAAATCATTGTTATGGGGTGGGGTTATGGTGCAGCGGTTAGGATGCCCCACCCCACATCCCATGTTGGGTGTGCCTGTAAGTCCCAGCTTCCCATCCAACTTCCTGCTAATGTGCGCCCTGGGAGACAGCAGATCATGGTTCAAGTACTTGGGTCCTTGCCATCCACGTGGGGGGCCCAGATGGAGTTCCTGGCTCTTGCCTTTGGCCTGGCCCAGCCCTGGCTATTGGGACATCTGGGGGGTGGCCCAGCAGATGAAAGATCTGTGTCTCTTCTCTGTGCCTTTAAAATAACATGAAAATAAGGGAGGCCAACGTCGTGGAATAATGGGGAAACCTGCTGCCTGTGGCGCCAGCACCCCGTATGGGTTCCAATTCACGACGGCTGCTCCACTTCCAATCCAGCTCTCTGCCGATGGCCTGGGAAAGCAGTGCAAGATGGCCCAAGTGCTTGGGCCCCTGCACCCGTGTGGGAGACCCAGATGGAGCTCGTGGCTCCTGGCTCCAGCCTGGCCCAGCCCTGGCCGTTGTGGCCACTTGGGGAGTGAACCAGCGGATGGACGACCCCCCTCTCTGTCTCTCCCTGTCTCTGAAACTCTGATTTCCAAATAAATAAATCTTACTTAATAAATAAGTTTCTTTTCATCGTATTATTCTTTTACTTTGAATATTTATCTTGAAGTAGGGTCAGAGAGGCCCGCCTCTCCGTGCTGAATTTCTGGTGGGTGGTGACTGTTGTGTCCCTGTGGCTTCTGCTCAGTGCTGCGACCGTCTCCTTCCAGATTGTCCTCTGGGGCCGGACTGAGAAGTGCCTGAAGGAGACGACGGAGGAGATCCGTCAGATGGGCACCGAGTGCCACTACTTCATCTGCGACGTGGGCAACCGGGAGGAGGTGTACCAGACGGCCAAGGCTGTCCGGGAAAAGGTCGGTAGCCTGGCACGGTGGGGCCTGGGTGCGGGGCGGTGCCAGGCACAGCGCACGCCCCCCCCCCCCAGGGACCGCGGAGGGAGCCTGGCTTATGGCCGACGGCTTTGTCCGGGGCCCCCGTGGGGAGCCTTCCCCGAAGCCAGCCCGAGTTACGGGAGTTAAGGTTGATGACCCAACAACAGCGGTCACCTGTTGTCCCTTGGAAAACTTAGACCTTGTGGGTTTCTCTCCAGAACCCTGGGGGGAGGGGCAGGGCCCCACACTGCCCTCTGGGAGAATCCTCAGTTCCACCTGCGTGGACGGAGACGAGCACGCGCCTTCTGTGACTGGCGCGTGGAAGTGTTAACGTTTTGTCTCACGATAGCCTTGTTTATTACAAAGCTGCTCCACGCCAGGTATATTCTGTGCCGTAAATTATTTCCACTCCTGCGCTCAACCCTGAGACGGCATCAGCCCCATCTCATAAATCCAGATGGCGGTGCTGGGGCCGCGTCCGTGCCCTCACGGCCCCCGCCCGCCCGCAGGTAGGCGACATCACCATCCTGGTGAACAACGCCGCCGTAGTCCACGGGAAGAGCTTGATGGACAGCGACGACGACGCCTTGCTGAAGTCCCAGCACATCAATACCCTGGGCCAGTTCTGGGTAAAGGCGCCTGGGGTGGCGGGAGCAGAGGGTCACGGGACTTGGGCTCCGGGTTGTGGGGATGTCCATGGACGAGGTGGCCAGGCCACAGGGCCACTGGACTTTGAGCTGTGAGCGTGGTGTCCTGTGGCACAGGACGGCTCCGTCCCCAGAGCAGCGTGCCCGGGGTTCCCCGAGACAGGGCTGGGAGGGGTTGGGGGCAGCTGTGGCTGCTCCGTGCTGACCGCCCCTCTGCCCCTAGACCACCAAGGCCTTCTTGCCACGCATGCTGGAGCTGCAGAACGGCCACATCGTGTGCCTCAACTCCGTGCTGGCGCTCTCTGCCATCCCTGGCGCCATTGACTACTGCACGTCCAAAGCATCCGCCTTCGCCTTCATGGAGAGCCTGACCCTGGGGCTGCTGGACTGTCCGGGTGTCAGCGCCACCACCGTGCTGCCCTTCCACACCAGCACCGAGATGTTCCAGGGCATGCGAGTCAGGTCAGTGGGCGCGCCCAGCCTGCTCCCTGCTGTCCTGCAAGGGCACCCCGGGAGCCCTGGGCTTTGGCCTGGGGCTCCGTGCCTGATGCTCTACCTGCAAGACAGTGGGTGGGGTACGGTGGCAGGTCCGGGTCATGCTTCTCAGCTCTGGGAGTTTGCAGCACTGGCTCCTGGCTCCTGCCATCAGATCAGCGCGGTGCGCTGGCCGCAGCGCGCGCAGCCGCGGCGGCCATTGGAGGGTGAACCAAGGGCAAAAGGAAGACCTTTCTCGCTGTCTCTCTCTCTCACTG